ATATAAGACTTAAAATTACATCAATATTAATCATAATCAAAAGCTAATCGTCGTAATCTAATCTATTATTCTAATTCATTGATGTCATTGAATTTACGTGATTCTAATGAAAAATTAAAACTGAATATTAATCAAAAAAAAGCAGTGAATTTTGTAAAAAATTCAAAAGAATCCTCTCTCTCTCTCTCTCTTTTTTTCCCTTTAGGCTTTTCTTTTTTTTTTTTCCGTATTTAAGTGTCATTGCACCAAAAGTTCTATAGTTTCGGCGAGTCATAATCACTGACAAGTGTAATTGTGGATCACAAAAAAACTCTTATAAAGGATTTGTAAGTTCTCATAAATGATGATTATTAATAACGGTAAATTGAGACGTGAAAAATTTATTCCCTATAAATACTCTATACTATCATGGATAATCTACTTTTGAGCAAATCAATGATAAAATTAATCGAAGTGTGCATAAGTTAATCTAAATACTCTTGACCGCTAATTAGAATAAACTAAGCCAAGAAAAATTGATGGACATTAAGGCATTGGCAAATTTGAAAGTACTACATTCTCCGACAGGGAATGTCCTATTGCTTTTATACCCATATGCTTTTTTATTTTGATAGCTGGATAATCCCATTTCGTGAAAGGCACTTCTTCCACTAACTGCAACCCACCCTCCTCTGCTAGTTTTGTTATTTCCCACATAGTATACGGGTACGATGTCTTATGAGTCACGTGTATTTGACCACTCTCTGTTAACATATCACGTGCATTCTTCAAGAATGCCTTAATAACATTCTGATGAAGCCTGAAAATACATTAAAAAAAATTCACTTAAGCAAGGCCATTCTTATGATTTAGTGAAGTATTGTACTTAGGAAAGAAAAATGATCATAGGTTCAGACTTACTCAATTTGGACCATGCTGTGTTCTTACATGAAGTAATTTAAACCAGCATGAGGACAATTAAATACAATTCTGTCAAATGCTTTCACATTGAGAAGAGGGTGATGGCTCATGGTGTTGGCATCCACTTCATGCACAATGATGCACCATAATCCTCCAATTTCTTCGGGTTTGCCACCGCACTATGATGTTTTGTCACTAATGTCACTTTGGTTTGGCATTCATGAGAAAAAATTTTCCAATTAGACCACACATACCCACAAAGTAATCGGATGATTTTTGATGATAAAACACATACATAACGATGATAAAAAATATTATCTAGAGTACTTTTGTTCAAATGAGGAAAGAAAATTTTGAATACTGTCAAAGAATGCTCCAAGAAACTATGGTGCATGTATCCACACCTTTACAGTCAAGATCAAGAGAGGTGGCAACCATATTTGAGGCAGGCCCAAATGCTTCTGCTAACCTTGCGGCAAAGGAGAAATCTCCCTCACCAACTAGCAAAATCTTGTGAGAACTGCTATAGTGTTTTATACATTTCTCTCCTCTGTCATCTACAAGAACTTTGGATTCCATTTGGTCTACATTAATGGCAAATAAACAACTAGAATACTACTGACTACTGACTACTCTTCACCTACTGCTAATTTGGGGTTTAAAATGTGATTGTTTGCATGGATTTAGATGAACTATATTGGAAAGAGCAGTGCTACAAAACTCAAATGAAATTTCAAGAAATATAATCCAAATGCATATCATCCCTTGGATGAATTGATCCCATCAATTTTTTTCAGTGAAATCCACTAATCTAAAGGATGATATTCATTTGGGTTTTAATTTTTGAATTTCATTTAAATTATGTAACATTTTCCTATTAGGAATGTAAATCATAGGCATGCCTCTTCAAAGTCCCTGCTACAATTAATTAGTTACTTCCAATTCTCATGTTAATCTGGGGTCTGAGAGAAGTCCCTTGGTCTTCCTTCTGGAGAGACCTATGGGCCTATTTGTTACGAGGGTTTGGGTGGGTCTATAGAGGGGGTTTAAAAAAATAGTTCAATTTATTGTCATAGCTCATGTTTAGATGTCTTTCTCAGACCCGATATTTAAACAGACTCAGACTCCCTCAAGCCCATTCATAAGGGCTTCATCAAAACCACGAAGTATATTTCATCAAACCCATGTATAAAAGTTTCATCAACACCAATCCAATCCTTCACCCAAATTCCATCCAGACATGCTAATGGCGCCATGATTGATGACCTTTTATAGAGGGAATTATACTCAGATTTTTTGAAGTTTGTCACTTAAATCCTTTGATATTTAAAATATTATATACAGATCCCTTAAAATTTGTACGTGTGTAACACTTAGACCCTTATTGTAATATATCCGTTAACAAATTACACTTAGATCTCCTAAAGTTTGTGAGTATATAATACTTAAACCCTTTAAATTTTAAAATATTATACTTACACAAAAAAAATTTCAATTAAATATATAATATATAATATTTTAAATTTTACAACTAAAATTCATATTCTATTGTATCATTTATTGAAATAAAATCAAAAATAAAAATTTAATTTTTTCGTAAAAAAATTGTAATTAATATACAATTAAATTGTAATTAGTATACAAAAGCTAGATTACATTTCGCCGAAACAAACGCTGGAATCATGTTGAACCGTTTTTCGGACTCCAAAAGCAAGCATTGCATTTGATATGAAATCATCTACGTACGTCGTTAACTAGTTACTAGTTACTTAAACTAGGAGTGAACAACAGCTTTGACTCACATTAGAAAGCACATTTTCTTTCAAAAGATAATCAAAATTAGAGTTAACAACATTACAACAAAAAAATGATTTTTGTGATGATTTTTTTCGTTGCTAAAATTTGGAACCTTTTATAATTTTTTGGAAAAACAGTTTTTTTGTTGTCGTGCAAACAGGACATGTATATATGTTAAGTTAGTTTCTAATATTGTTTAAAAAATGTAATTTTAATTTAATTTAAGGATCTAATTAATTGTTTAAACATGTTGGATTTACAATGGATATCATCGATCCAAACTTAAAACTAACAATTTATCTAATGATTACAATGAATTAAGTCCTATAATATTGTTCATACCAATTCAAAATCAACTTTAAAAGTCAACTTTAATTATTTCTTAATTTATTCAAAAGGTAAAGCTAAGTTTTAATTATTTATTTTTGGTAGTAATTGTCTAACCATCAACTTTGGTCTACCTAGTCTCACTTCATTATCCTTCTAATCCATCGTATAGGACGTAAAAGTACATCAATAGTAATCATAATCGAACCTAATCATCGTATCTAATTTATTTTTCTAATTCATTGAATTTATGTGACTCTAATAAACAATTAAAACTGAACATTAATCAAACAAAAACAGTTAATTATGTAAAAAAAAATCAAAAGAAACCTCCCCTTTTTACTCCCCCCTCCCACCACTTTAGACTCTTTTTTTTCCGTATTGTAGTGTCACTGCACCGAAAGTTCTATAGTTTTGGCGAGTCATAATCACTAACAGAGTAATTGTGGATCACCAACAAAACTCTAATAAAGGATCCGTAGCTTCGTAAATAATGAATACTAATTCAAAGTAGTTCAAATGATAATAAAGATGAATTATAAATCTATACGTCATGAATTCGAATTTTGACAATCATTGAACTTAAACCATAAAAAAATTATTCTTCATGAATATTCTAGATCTGACATGAATGACCTGTTTTTGATCGAATTGATGAAAGAATTAGTCAAGGTGCACATAAGTTGATCTGAATATTTTGACCATTGAACCTAAAAAATAAATAAATAATGATCACTTAAGCGATATTGATTAGAATAACTAAGCCATAGAAAGATTGGTGGACATTATGGCTTTGGCAAATTTGAAAGTACTGCATTCTCCGACAGGGAATGCCCTGTTGCTTTTTATACCCATATGCTCTTTTATTATGGTACCCTGGATAATCCCATTTGGTGAAAGGCACTTCTTCCACCAACTGCAACCCACCCTCCTCTGCTAGTTTTGTTATTTCCCACAAAGTAAACGGGTACGATGTCTTATGAGTCACGTGCACTTGACCATTCTCTGTTAACATATCACGTGCATTCATCAAAAATCCCTTAACAACATTCTGATGAAGCCTGAAAATAAATAAAAAAAAAATTGACTTATTATCCAAGGCCATTCTTATGATTTAGTGAAGTATTGTACTTGGGAAAGAAAAATGATCATGGGTTCAGACTTACTCAATTTGGACCATGCTGTGTTCACACATGAAGTAATTTAAACCAGCATGAGGAAAATTAAATACAATTCTGTCAAATGCTTTCACTTTGAGAAGAGGATGTTGGCTCATGGTGTTGGCATCCACTTCATGCACAATGGTGCACCCATAATCCTCCAGTTTCTTCAGGTTCGCCACTGCAGTAGGATGTTTTGTCACCAATGTCACTTTGGTTTGGCATTCATGAGAAAAAGTTTTTCAGTTAGACAACACGTACCCACAAAGTAATCGAATGATTTTCGACGATAAAACATATTCATAACGATGATGAAAAATATTATCCAGAGTACTTTTGTTCAAATGAGCGAAAAAAATTTTGAGTACCGTCAAAGAATGCTCCAAGAAACTATGGTGCATGTATCCATACCTTTAGAGTCAAGAGAGGTGGCAACCATATTTGACGCAGATCCAAATGCTTCTGCTAAGCTTGCGGCAAAGGAGAAGTCTCCCTCACCGACTAGCAAAATATTGTGAGAACTGCTATAGTGCTTTATCCATTTCTCTCTCTTTTCATCTACAAGAACTTTGGATTCCATATGGTTTACCATGGCACATAAACAACTAGAATAGTTTATATTACCGACTACTCTTCACCTAATGCTAATTTGGGGTTTAAAATGTGATTGTTTGCATGGATTAAGAAGAACTAATTTGGGAATGTAAATCATAGGCATGCCTCTTAAAAGTTACTGCTACTATTAATTAGTTACCTTTCCAATTCCCATGTTAATCTGGGGTCTGAGAGAAGTCCCTTGGTCTTCCTTCCGGAGAGACCTATGGGGTCATGGTTGATGACCTTCTCCATATTACCAGGCACCAATCAGGTTCATTTTTTGGCCATCTCAGAAGTGTATACTGTTTAGTGTTTTATATAAACGGAATAATATACATTTAATTTCTAATTTTTTGAATTTTATTTGAATTATTGACGGAATATTTTGTTATGAGTCCCATCATCTGAAAAAAGAGATTGCATCAACCGGCATGCAGCGCTAGGGGCCAAGATTCCAAAAAAGAAATATCAGCCTTTAACTAGCTCCACTAATAAATTTAACCAACTCCACTAATAAAAAATGAGTACAGTAAGTATCTCTCTTTCTCTATAAATATGGGTGAAACCCCATATGCAGGAGTGCTCCATACCTCACACAAATTCTTATCATTTTTTTAGTTTATACACTTGTCTATTCGATTATTGATTGACATCGGACAGGCTTCCACCGGCAATACCTCTGTCTAATTTTGCAGCTAATTAACCAGACGATATTTAAAGATTAGGGACGCACCTTTACCATTTGAGTGATTATACGAAAATCATCCCATACAATTGTGTACTTGTTTAGCATTTTCCTTCCCTAACTCGTCTGGAGACAACCGGTGAGCTTAACCAGTAAAGCATTTTTGCAAAGATGAGTCGCCTCTGCCTCTCTGAACATAGAGAAAAATGTATACATATGTAGTGTCCAGGCATCCAAAATTATATGGTTTCATTATGTTGTGTTGTGGTTGGTATGAGGGAATAACAATATCATATGTGCGTGCAAGATCCTGCACAATATAAAAAACGAGAAACAGATCTCTCCTTTGGTGGGTCTTCTTGGGGTTCTTTTTCGAATGAGTTGAAGGGTTTCTTTTGTGGGTGGAGAACCAAGAGGCATTGATGTTTAGTGGGATAAAATGAGTGTTTGAGATCTTTTGGTATCTTGACAAATGAGATGACTTTGCTTTGGCCTGTTGGAACAATTGTAGGTAGCATGGTATTTATATTGTGTAATTCCTCTGAATTTTACCAATTTCTAGGTTGTACCAGTACATGAGTCAATAGATATTTTCAATTGAAAAACTTTTCAAATGTCTTACTAGGACCTTCAATTCTACAATAGGCCTCCTAAAAAGTGGCTGCCATAATTCCGGTTTCGTTTGGAAAACGCTATTTATCAATTTTTTGACATCACAGGTTCTCTTGGATCCATGAGTTCACGTGGTACACTGTACAATGATATCCCACCTGTACAATCTGATGTTGTCACATGGTGAGACATGTATTCATCTTTTTATATTTAGGTGCTTTATCATTGGGCTACTTGTGATACACAATTCTATTATCTAAAAAATTCCGCACCTTGGGAAAGTTGTCGTCATAAAAAAAAGGATGAGCATTTCTATAGGATGGCACGGTTCACTGCAATATTTTTTGAAACTGATTTTAGTTTCTAGGTGACATGTTCCAAGGTTTTGTATATTTGACTTATCATGAAAATATTCACAAATAGATCTGGACAGCCCAATACATTGAACTGTTTGCATTATATTTCCTAATTCGTTAGATTTGGGGATGATGGGAGGTTGCAAGATTCAGACATGTTTTTATTATGGCAATGCGTTTTACAGTAAGTGTCTTTCTATTATAATTTATTATGTAGTGTGGGGAGGTTGTGAACATCAATGTTTCATCCAATTATTGTGATGTAGTTGTGTAACTTTTAGTTTCTTTTTTGAGAAGTGTGCCTTAGGAGCTCTATGAGATAGTGTATGTGTGGGTTATTGGATGCTTACATGCATAAGCGCATGTGTGAACCATGTACTAATATCTAGTTCCTACAAAGTTGTTACTTCTTTTCTTTGACTTCCCAATGTGATTCCAGTTAACGAGTTTGTGTTAGAGAGATTATCTTGTGATGGCTGACAAGAAACAAATTTGTTTTTTGGAAACTTGATGATAGTGCTTATATAATGTTACTTGGATCGTGGGTTGATTTGGTATGTGGTGCGGGTACGGGTACACGGTACGACACTTTCTTAGGTACGGGATAAACTTAGTTGGTACGGTGTTTTCGGTTACAATTTGTTTTGGAATCCTTATCTAGATGCTTTCACTACCACATGAAATTACATATAATAGTATTATTTATTTTGTATTTGTGCTAGATTTTTTATTATCTAAAGTTATATATAATTATACATCCATATACACATAGTTAAATATTTATTCTTCGTTTGTGATACATGTTCTAACGTGATTCAATTTGGAGTTAGTATTATAATTTGGGGTCGGACATTTAGGTGATTTGGATCGCGAACTCACCTCCTTTGGAATCGTTGAACCCGGATTGTGGGTTATTAGGGGTATAGCAAATTCTGGTAACTATGTGCTTACCTCTCTTAGCCAAGTTGATATAAGTTGGCAATCAATGACATTCTCTATTACCTGGGACAAAACGTCCCCAATACTTTTCCTTCAGTACACACAATTTAAGTTTGTAGCACCTACAATATTCCTTTCAAGTGGGTAGAAACCCACAAACATTCCAGCTAACTGCTAAGGTTGGGTCTGTTTTGGTCATTGGTCTGCATAGAGTTACCTTATTCAGTAGTAGTTCTGGTTATTGATCTGCATGAAGGTGTCACATTTGTAGGAAAATTTGTCCATTCTGTTCTGTGCTGAACATTTTCTCATTTATAGATTAGAAAAAGTGTCACTCTCCTTGTGAATTAATTATGCTTGTTTTAAGTTTTAACAATGCCTTGATGGAAATATGTCGAGAACTGTACCTTTGAATTGAAAGATTGAGAAGCAGTTTGAGGTAGAGTTTATTTTCAGAAGGCAGAATCTAATGCATCTTGGATCGAAGCATAAGATTTTGTTGTGTCTTCAGGCCACTGCTGTATGGGTTATGCCTGGTTTTACGAATAGTATCCTGTATCAGATTCAATACTAAAAAAACTGCTCAAAGAAGTTTTCAAGAAATTCTAGCATACATGTTGCTTACGTTAGTGTTTTAGATATTAGATTTTGAAGTTGGCATTAGGAAAACGAAAACATTCACTTGATCATCTGAATTTTAAGGTTCTTAAAACAAAAGGGTTCCTTACTATTTTTCTAGTTAAGTTGAACAATGTTTTTCAAATTTAATGTTTAAGTTAACAATTTGATCTCAAGAATGAAGCAATAGCTGCTGCTGCTGTTGTACTTATTGAGGGTTGGAAATTTATTTGTCTATCCAGTCATTTTAGTTCTCTTCCTTCGTTTGATTTAGCATTTATATCAATTGATTAGATCTCTGTGCAGGACTGGTAACATCTCCACTCATGCAACTGAACGTCGAACGAAGAACTTGTTCTTGCAAAGTTTATATGAGGAAGAACAGAAAAGATTGGGGATGGAGAATGGTGTTAATGGTGGGAAGAATGATTCTGAGGGTGAAATTCAAGATAAGGACATTGTAGAATGTCTACAAGATGGTGTTCAAAATTGGACAGACTTTTCAAAAGTCCACTATCATCCCCGGAGTTTGTATGAATTAACTGGACTAGGAATGGACATTGGGGAATTCGAGAGTTATGGAATTGGAAGGGATGCCTTCTCTGAGGCTTTACGAGGAGAAGAAATAAATGAGAGGCTTCGTTTTTTCATGGAAGAGTGTGACCATATTCAGGTATCTCATAAAATGAAAAATGCTTTCTTAGATCATCTCCAATGGAAACCTAAACCCTTATTCAAATTTGAGTAAAAAATGGGGTAAAAAGTTTGATTTGGTATGCACCTCTCCAATAGAGAAACCCAAATTTAAAGGAAGCAAAACTCAAATTTAAATGAAGACAAACTCAAATTTAAAAGAGGGTAAAATATAACCATTAGATCTATAAAGGTGGGTGTCATCTCACTATTAAAGATTTAGGTATGGATTTGAGTCTCCCTTAATTTGAGTAAAAAAAGAGTCTCCTTTCATTTGATATGGATATAGGTCTAGCATTGGACAATATTTTTAAGAGTTTTTTACCCAAATTTAAATTTGGTTTTAAAAAAAGGTAAGGATCGCAGATGCTCTTACGTTTATTTACGGACTCCTAGGCAATCTTAATTTCACTCATGTTTTGTTCCTTTGTTAAAAAGGTAAGGATTGAAGATGCTCTTACACTTCCTCACGGACTACTAGACAACCTTAATTTCACTCATGCTTTTTTCCTTTGTTTGTGAAAATGATTGCCAATCAGTAATCATCGCAAATTATATTTAGCTTACTTTGACTTTTTTCCCTTTGAGCTTGCCCCTATTCTCACTAGTCGACTAGTCTATTCTGTAATGATCGTCAAATTTTTTTGGACACTAAAATTTAGAGTGGCACTTAATGGAAGTTAATGATCGGACTGAATCCGCACAATACAAGAACATGGAGGACAAGCCTAAATAGAAGGATTGGGGATCAAAGTAGAATAGGGAAAATTTTAGGTAGATAAAGTATAACTAACCATTATATTTATGGCAAGTTGGTTAGTCTGAAAGTTATATCTATGGCAAGCAGGTTAGTCTTTTCAGAATTTCCTTGACATTTATGGTTCATAAAAATTCTTATATCATTCAAGCCTTCCCATAACCTCTTTGAAGCGAAGATCCTCTACATGGTTTCATAAGATATTTCTGCCTTTTTGTTATGATGATTATTTTGGCAGGGAATTCAATTTATGGTTGATGACTCTGGAGGATTTTCTGGTGTGGCTGCAGAATTTTTGGAGAATATTGTGGATGAGTACACAAACGTTCCAATGTTGCTCTATACGGTCCGGAGCCCTGGCTCTTACATTAACCTCACAAGCCGGAAGCAGACAATCTCTCACTCTCTTCATGATGCAATTTCATTTGCAAAATTGTCATCCTTGTGTAAATTGATCGTGCCTATTGGTTTACCCTCCCCGAGTAAAAGTAAGTAGTGTTAATTTGTGGGAAAGGTCCTTTTTATAACCACCTCTTGTTTTCTGATTACCGGATTAAATTTGAATTGTTTCTAAGAAATTTGATTTCCTAATTGTAAATGAAATTTGGTTGATCAACCAAGCAAGATGCATTTTGTGTTTTAGTGAGAATGTACCTTTATGTTATGTTGCTAAATATCTCAATATTAGTTTGCTTGAACCAAAATCACTGGATATGCTATGTTCATGTTATGCTGGAGATTATTCTTAGATCAAATTCTCCCCCCCCCCAAAAAAAAAAAAAAAAACCCTAAAAGAAGCTACATAAAAAAAAAAATCTGCTCCAAAAACAATATATTAGCCTCTTTTTATTATGTATGTTAAGAAGAAGCTGTGCATGGACTGATCTGCTTATGCAAATGTGAACTTAAAGCTTCCAGGTTTCTCTCCATAAAAGACGAAAAGCCTTACTACTCCAGTGCAATTTATGCATCTGCACTGCATTCTATTAGTCTCCCTTTCCGAATGGAACCACTTGGTCCCAGTGCAGAATCCCTTTATATATCTGGTGCTGTGGATATAAATGGGGTCATACAAATGTTAGCTGGCCAAGCTAGGCATAATAGTGTTGCTATTCTGGATGTTGCAATGCCAGCTCCTCCTCT